ATCCTGCATCCACCCTATCCCTCTTCTAGGACAGGGGTGGGGAGTGGGGGAGTCAGGGGGAAGGTAGGGAAGTGAGCATGTTCAAATCAAATCTTTTTCTTTACCCGCTGATTTTTTTTTTTTTTTTTTTTTTGAGACAGAGTCTTGCTCTGTTGCCCAGGCTGGAGTGCAATGGCGTGATCTCGGGTCACTGCAACCTCTGCCTCCCAGGTTCAAGTGATTCTCCTGCCTCAGCTTCCTGAGTAGCTGGGATTACAGCAACCTGCCACCACACCCAGCTAATTTTTGTATTTTTAGAAAAGATGGGGTTTCACCATGTTGACCAGGCTGGTCTCAAACTCCTGACCTCAAGTGATCCACCTGTCTCGGCCTCCCAAAGTGTTGGGATTACAGGTGTGAACCACCATGTCTGGCCTTTCGCTGCATTTCTAAGGAGATTTGCTTCCTCTACTTCATGTGTTCTGCCAACTGTTGACCATGGCTGTCACCTGACAGTGTTGTTTTCCTTTCTTTCTTTTCTTTTTGAGATAGAGTCTCACTCTGTTGCCCAGGTTGGAGTGCAGTAGTGCAATCTCGGGTCACTGCAACCTCTGCCTCCCAAGTTCAAGTGATTTTCCTGCCTCAGCCTCTTGAGTAGCTGGGATTACAGGCCTGCGCCACCATGGCTGGTTAATTTTTGTATTTTTATTACTCTTATGTTGGCCAGGTTGGTCTGGAACTCCCAACCTCAAGTAATCCACCCACCTCAGCCTCCCAAAGTGCTGGGATTGCAAGCGTGAGCCACTGCGCCCGGCCATAATGTTGTGTTCCTTTCTGATCTGGTGTTCTCTCCTCTGCAATAGACTGCTTTCTCTACTTGTGCCTTTTGGCATGGAGAATGAGCTGCCTCATTTGTAGAGACAGTGTAATGGACAAGGCATAATTTTGATTAAATGGGTACTCATAATAGCTAGTCATAAAGTAAATCCTGAAAACTTAAAAAATGTTTAAAATCTTAAAGTCACTAGAAATGAAAAAAATTCAAGTTTATATACATATTTTAGTGGCAGAAAATATGATAAAATGTCCAATAACAGACTCTCACTGTAGACATATGCTACCTTAGGATAAAATTCTGTCGTGAAGTGAATGGAATGAAATATAAACTTGAGGAAGAACAGAAATGATTAAAAAGTTTCCAGCTGTTAAAGAATAACTTCATCTATTTCTTAAAAGGATAAGGGAGGGTATAAAGTTGCTGTGATATTGAGATTTAATTGAATTATTTAAAAGTAATGCAACAACATGTAAAAATGTCAATTTTTATAATATGTCAGAAATTATATTTCTTGCAACTATTTTATTTTTTAGTGAAAGACATTAGATGACAACCCAAAAAGTGTGTTGAAGGAGCATATTGTTTTTCAAGGGTCTTTTAAAGGTTAAATGAGCTTATTCTCAACCTGTAACATGACTCCTTTTATGGAAGGGAGGATTTGAAGGAAAAAAGAAAGACTTCAAGCTAAAGTCAAGGCTCTCCTGGGAGTTCTTCTATTGCAGTTCCTTCCCCGACATGAAAGTGAAGAGTATTAGAGAAAGAAGGGCACCGAAGTAACCGTAATTAGACAAATAACGTATATGGAAGCTCTTGGCAAATAGGCTAAAGCTGCTAATCTCAGTAAGAAGCTGTTAAGAGGTAAAGAAAATCTGACTATTATGAGATATATTTAATTAAGTGGGTTTATATCCCCAAGGTACTCTTTACATTTATTAATAGTTTACCTCTAATACTACTTTGATTGTTTGAATCCCTTCTGTTATTTGTTTAAGACAGGGATTAACATACTTTTTCTGTAAAAGGCTAGATAGTAAATATTTGTGGGTTTCTGAACTGTGCAGTCTTATGTTGCAACTACTGTATTCAACTCTGCTACTGTAGGGAGAAAAGAGCCATAGATATTCCATAAACAAGTGAATGTGGCTGTGTACCATTAAACTATTTATAGGCACTGAATACGAATTTCATATAATTTCCATGTGTCACGAAATATTCTTCTTTCAGTTTTTTTTAACCATCTGAAAATGTAAAACCATTCTAAGCTCTCAGGCCACACAAAAACAGGCAGCCGACCGGCTTTAGCCTGCAGGCAATAGTTTACGAACTCTGGTTTTCAATACAGTATTTAAAGGCTCTTTTATACTGAAGAGTGAGAATATTCTGGAAGGATACACAAGGAACTAGCCATTGTAACAGTATTTGGATAAGGGAAATGGGTGTCTGAGCTGGGAAGACTTTTTTCAGTATACTATTTGAATTGTTTACCATGGGCTTGTGTTACCATTTCAAAAATTAGAGTTTTTTTTTTTTAAAGCCCGTTCAGGAATTGTAAACCCAATGAATCTGACCTGAGTGGACCCTGCTATCTGGATTCTAGAGAGTTCTGCTGTTAGCTAATCAGGGGCATTCACATGGTGGGTCTCCAATCAGGGATAATAACTTAAATGATGCAGAATTAGGGGAATTGGACTTTTCATTTGGAGAGCAAGTGATAAATTATGTCCTAAGCTTTTTTGCCAATAGGGCTTATACCATTTCTCCAGGAAGAGCAAGTCAAATGTCATAGAATTTGGCAGAACTAAGCAAGAAAAACAATAAATGCAGGTAATTTAATAGAGCCAACATTTCTTGAGGGCTGACTGTATGCCAGGCACTTGATTTGAAGGTGCCAAGTTTATATATGAATGTATTGAAGAAAATATATCACAGGAATCCAAAATGAAGATGAGTGTGCCTGGAAAATATTAAAAAGCTGTAATGTGTGGTGGAAGTACGGGGGAGCTTGCTGAACATGGCTCAAGGTTAAAAAAGACAGAGACAAGGAGAGCACAGAGGGAAACCTAAAGTCAGAGTCACAGAACTGTGATATTCTATTTTTAAAGACCAGAGGAAATGGGTTTTAAGTTACAGAGTATAAGCTTGGGTTGAATATTAGGAAAACTTTCTGACCGTTCACATTGTGAGTTCCTGGAAAATATTATTATGGGAAATGGTGGAATTTCCTATTCCCAAAATAGGAGAAGCTCTAAAACAATAATTGCCTAAATTTTGATGCAGAGTGGGAGTGTTAAAGTCCAGTTATCATACAATATACAGGCACGTATACACATGTAGTATCATGATTCAATATGTATTTATATATACACATTATATATATCCTTATACAATTGATATGTACATACTGAAATTTGAATTTCCCTAGTCCTCAACTAGCTTGTGAGTATGAATGAGGTTCTGTTAATTACAACAACTCAACTTTTTTTTTTTTTTTGAGACTTTAGCTCTGTCGTCCAGGCTGGAATGCGGTAGCATGATCAGAGTTCACTGCAGCCTCGACCTCCTAGGCTCAAGTGATCCTCCTGCTTCAGCCTCCCAAGTAGTCTAGCTGGGACTACAGGTGTGCATCACCATGCCCAGCTAATTTTTTAATTTTTAGTAGAGATGAGGTTTTGTCATGTTGCTCAGGCTGGCCTCGAACTCTTGGGCTTGAGTGATTCTCCTGCCTTGGCCTTTCAAAGTGATGGGATTACAGGCAGTAGTCACTGTGCCTAGCCAGAAACTCAACTTTTACTGAGTTACTCTTCAGGACCTCCAGCTCCCTATCAGAGCCTCCTTCCCCGACAACTCCCCAGTTATTTCAGGAGTGCCTTGGGGTCTCTTCATGTTTATAACTAGGTCTGCTCTGGCTGTTCCTTCCACTCCATTTTGTGTCCATGGGGCAGAGCAGTGCCCAACCAGTAGTCATGATTCCCCTGCTGGGCACCTCTGTTGCCCAGCCCTCTTGGGTTCAAAGTTCTACTGTGACATATGGCAGAGTTGTTTGAGGATGAGGGTGAGGTTGAAATGAGCTCTGTCTCTTCTGCTTGTTGCATTGGAAGGATCTGCCTTATACCCCAATGTTTCAAGACTTCATTTTTATTTACAACCCTTTTCTTCTCACCTCTGGGTGGTAGGAAGGTCTCCTGAATCTAGTTTGGGTTGGTCAAACACAGCTACACTGAAAATTACACATGTCTCTAAGGCTAAGGCTTTCTTTTGGGGTGAAGTTCATGGTCCTTAGCTCCCCATGAGTTTAGAATGGATTTTCTCCCACCAAGCCCCTTATATTAATGGATCGTAGAGTTTGGCAGTAGGGCGTGGTGGAATTTGATAGGCTATACCACTGGTTTACCAGAGGGACCCAGATATGCTTGGACCTGACAGTGGACACAGTTTGTGTCTCTTCTCAGGAGACTTTCCCTCATTCTTGCTTTTTCAGCTGGTTCCCTTCTGGTGTTTTCCCATCAGTGCAGATTGCTCTAGTATCACCTATCTTTAAAAATTGCCCTTGAAACTGCATCCTCCTTCAGCTACTTCTCTATCTCTTGACTCCCTATCTCTTCACATCCAAACCTCTCTGTTACAGCATCCTGTTCTTTGCCCTCATAAACAGCTTTCATGACAATATATAATCATCTGTGTATTTGTGTGATTATTTGTTTAATATTTATTCCTAATTAAGCTTGATGTCATGGATCATGAATGTTTATTTTCCTGTTGCCATTTTATCTTCAAATATCTAGCACAGAATTTAGTGCAGAATATATGCTCACTGAATATTTGTTGCAAGCATGAATAAATGAATGAATGAAGCAAACAGTTTTCTGGTGCACTACCTTCCCAGAAGCCAAGTGCATCTGAAACTCACTTCTGTTTGAGCTAGGACATTTGGTGAGTGAGAGAGAAAGAGAGACGTGAATAGTGAGTAAATACTAATGAAATACATACTTATCCAAAAAACCCACTATATTCTCTTCCTGGGCAGCAAATATAGATAGCTGTTTATTTGTAAATAAAGTCATGTCTTGGTGGAGACAGAAAAAAAAGATTTGAAAATCATCATCAGAAAACAGCTTGGGAAAAGAGATTCTGATAGCACACATTATCACTTTTAATTATTTATCCTTTCAAATTACTTCTTTAGGGAGGTAGAAAACATTGTGGAAGGAGTGAAAGAAGAAAAGAAGACCTAGAGACATAGCTCAAAGTGAACACTGCTTCTCTTGGGTTCCTGGATTTCTTCTGGACATTTCCTCAAGATGAAACTTCAGACACTTTGGTGAGATTTACCATTATTTTTCTTTTTACTGTATCTTTTTAAAAAGCCCCAGATCAATACATGACCAAGGCAGATCATGACAGTGAAAATGAAAGCCCCTGAAATGTCCTCTAAAAGGCAGATATAAGGAAGATCTCTGATTTTCTGATCTGCTGACATAATGCCTAGATAGTAAAAAAAAATTCCAGTAGGAAGTGGCTTTAAATCACTATTAATATTTATAAAAACCTATTCTACTTTAGAATAAAGTTTAAGATAATGAATCATGGATTCATCTGATTTTATTTTACTTATTTTTATTTATTTATTTATTTTTTGAGACGGAGTCTCACTCTGTCACCCAGGCTGGAGTGCAGTGGCGCGATCTCGGTTCACTGCAAGCTCCACCTCCTAGGTTCACGCCATTCTCCTGCCTCAGCCTCCCAAGTAGCTGGGACGGATTCATGTCATTTTAAATCAAGGCCTTTTATATATGTTTCTTTTTTCTAATAAAGACATAGTCAAAATGTCATCATATCTTGCCCAAATCTCCCAAAGGCTGAAATTTGAATGAAAATATATGATGTTTTTTTCAGATAAATTAGAGAGTATCTCTTATGAAAGCACATATCTTGGACATTTTTAGGTCCAAATGAGGTATAAAAATGATAAATATTGAGAAAAGAGATATACAGAAAAGCTATAGTAAAATGCATTCAAAGGGAGCCATTTGTACTCTTGTAAACGATCTCACTCTCTCCTTCCCTAGCTTTCCTAACCGACCTGTACCCCATCCCCACAGTCACAAACTCTATTTATTTATTTTCCTTTCAGGAGTTTTTTTTGAAGGCCACCATAAAGAAAGTGCATTTCAATTGAAAAATTTGGATGGGATCAAAAATGAATCTCATTGAACACTCCCATTTGCCTACCACAGATGAATTTTCTTTTTCTGAAAATTTATTTGGTAAGTTGTCAAGTTCATTTGAATGTCACTAAGAACAAACTATGATTTGGGAATACATGAGGAAATGCCTAGATGATGAGTCCAACCCAGGGTCAAGAACATGTTTTTGTTCCTTCTAAGTACTCAATCAATGTTAGCTACTCTGCAAGGTTAGAGGAAGATTGGACCTTGGATTCATAGAACCTAATGGTCTTCATTTTTATAGATGAGGACTGCAAAAGCTTTGTGAATTGCTCAAGGCCGCGAGGCTAGATAATTAACACAGCAGGGAGTAGAAAGCGATTCTTGCTCTAAGGCTAATTCCAATATTATTATAGCAGGTACTAAACTATGAAATCATGATTCTTATGGCTTAATATGATACCTATTAAAGGCTGAGTTTACTTAGGTTATAGCTGGGCAGATTTCCTTTTGCAGTTCCTCCGGTCCTGGGGGATCTATGGCACAGTGTCAGGATTAGTCATTTAAGCAGGATTGAGGACGACTTGTACTAAGTAGTTTTCAGTAGATCTGTAACTAGATGATACCATAAAATGATATATTGCTCCACTTTATGCATTTATGAAAAACATCTCATTATAAAGAGTTTCAACTGAGAACATTAACAAAGAGTCAGCCAAGGCAATATTTTGGGTGGGGCAGGGAGCCTTTCTGCCAGTGTTAAAATAATTCCCTTCTGCATAATGGCCCTGCTGGGAGCCTAGGATGCTCCCAGTTTTCACCCTACGTTAATATATGGGCCATGATATACCATAATAGTGAAAATGCAAACACTAGAAGTTCCTCAAAGTTCAATGTATGAAGGCATGACTGCTTATTTGCTTGCTGATATTCCTAGGACCTGTTAATTAATAATTTACTATTAAATTGTTAATTAATAGTTAATTAATAATTTACTATTAATAGGTAAATTGCTGTTACCTATTAGTCATTAACACTTTAGTGTGTGGTGGCTGATTAGGCCATTTCCAAAAAGGGGTCATTATTTGTAATAATTATTTACATGTCTACCTGCCTCCATACAGTACAAATGCATTTAAGGGCAGTGACCATATTTCATTAATATTTTATTATTCAGTGCATATTTAGTAGGCACTTGATAAATAAGAGTCCAGTAATAAATAATAGAAAGGAAAGTAAAAAGAGGTTTAGGGAAAAAACAGATGTTGATCAGTAACTGTCAGAGAGACCAAAGGCAGCAGTAATTATTTATTAAATGCCAGTTCTCCCAAGTACTTGCTGCATCTTATTTCTTCCAGTTGGCTTATCTTCATCCTGTAGATGCAGTCAAGGGCAGTGGCAGGCCCTGCCTCCATGTCTAGCCACTTCACCATTTGCTTCTGTCCTGCCTCCCCTTCTATGGTTCCTCAGAACAAAATCAATGTATAGACATCTTAATGATTTTTTCTTCTAGCAATCAGAACTCACAGAATAATTAGGACTGTTGGCATACACCACAGATAAAGAAAAATTCCACTTAAGATTTTTTTTTCAAATAAAAACTGCCATTTCCTGCTGGAAAATTTTATGACTGTAGGCTGAGATTTCTGAGCTTAGGCCTCATGATTCATAAACCAATCTATTCAGCTCCAATTTGTACACACACAAAAAAAAATTGTAGGGTTTTCCTTCCAAGCTAGCCCAATTTTTAGCCAGCACACAAGATTTCAGGGTGATTTCTGCAGCCATAAGGTGAAAAAGATGTCAGTAAATACGGAAAAAACCATGAAGATGCCATCAGGTTAGAAGCATCTCAAAATGATTGCTAAGGAAGCACTGTGCCTTCTGCTTTTATGGTGTGGTTCTCTCCTCTCTCTTTTTTGCTGGACCACATTCTTATTCCATTTCCTAACACTGCATTTAAGGTTTCTGAGAATATATAGCATGAGCTGCATGAGCTGCAATGCACAGCTATAATTCTTCGCTGGAGCAGTCTCCTCTACTCTTCATCTGGTCCCCTCTTCTGGTAAGCTAATCTGACCATGTGCGACCATTAGGACTCCTTTTCCTTTTCTCCACTAGGCTGTGGAGCCAAGTTTAACATTATTTTCAAATCTCTTTTCCCTAGGCCCTCAGTCTCACTCCACTTAGCATACCTGAGCTAGGCTGGGTGTGGTGGCTCACACCTGTAATTCCAGAACTTTGGGAGGCCCAGGTGGGCAGATCACAAGGTCAGGAAATCGAGACCATCCTGGCCAACATGGTGAAACCCCATCTCTACTAAAAATACAAAAATTAGTTGGGCATGGTGGCGCATGCCTATAATCCCAGCTACTTGGGAGGCTGAGGCAGGAGAATCACTTGAACCAGGGAGTCGGAGGTTGCAGTGAGCCGAGATCGCGCCACTGCACTCCAGCCTGGTGACAGAGCGAGACTTCATCTCAAGAAAAACAAAAACAAAATCATACCTGAGCTAAAGATATGCCAAAGGGGAGGATGAAGAAAATTTTGATTCCTTTATTCCTCTTCCTCATCTTCTTGTGTGTCATGATGACACTGATGGCTTCTATGGCCCCTTCATGTGTTTAGAGTGGAAGGCATCAGGGAAAAGACTGGCCCATGAATGAGTAGCCCTCAGGCCTAACTCAGTACTCCTGGGTCTAAGCTATCCCAGGGGTTCAGAAGGGTTAAACCGTGGGTTCAACTGCCCAGAAAGCTGGACTCTTTTCCAGTGGTTAACTGTGTATTCAAAACAGCAGTCATGTTGTTACAATAAGGGCAAACAAGGTTAATGGAATAGTCTACAGATAGCTGTCATTTCTTCTCTTCAAATATCGGGCACTGACAATATGCTGGGCCTTGGAATAAAGCAGGGAATAGGACAGGCAAGATCCTAGTACAGAACAAACTCACAATAAACTTGTAAATAAAGCAATAAACAAAATAATATCATTTTTATATCTTATTTGGACCTAAAGATGCCCAAGGTAGTGATACATGCTATGAAAGCAACAAAATAGAGTGATGCCCTAGTGTCTGGAGGGATAGGCTGCTCTAAGTGGTATAGTCAGGAAAGGCCCCTGAGGAGTCCACAGTTGAGCTCAGCCTGAAGAGAAGGCAATACCAAGTGCAAAGGCCCAAAGTCTGGAATGGACTCAGAAAGGCCTTGTCTTCTACTTGTTTTTATTTAGGGGTAGACAACTGCTTTCCCATTAACCAACTGTGCAACCTTAACAACTCACTCAAGTTCAATTGGTAAAGGTAGATTATCAGGCTGAGAATTCTAGGACCCCATCTAGGTTAAACATTTGAGTCTCCAAAAATGCTGCCGTTGTCCATGTCAGGAAGTGGTGACTCAATGGTACTCACCCGGTACATGGCTCAACAGGTCCTTTTAAGGTGGTCCTGGGCATGGTTCCCTTCACTGCAGGTATAAAGGCCGTAATTCAATGACATCTTTAAGGCATTTAGAAGGTGACCTGAAGACAAATACTGACAAGCACTCACTATTGGGTGCTGGAGACACTAATGACCTTTTCAGTGATAACCTGCAGCTTCTTCTAGAGGTGACCATGGGTCCCTCACTCTTCAAAGGCTTTGCTTAGAGTGAAGGGGAAATGTCTTCACCCCTGTAATGTTTATTCCAAAAAACAGAGCCCAAATGAGGACTTGTGTGAAGGCAGTTTATGTGAGAGGTGATGGGGGAGCAGAGGCGAGGGAGTGGGTGATGTGACAGGGAAGGAGGGAAAACAAAAGAGGTCAGTTGTCAAGATCCCTGCTGTGGGTGAGGCCAGCTTGATGCCCCTGGGAGTAGCACAGAGAACTGTCAGCAGAAGGGTCAGGGACTGGAGCGTATATTAATATTAACTGGCCTCTGACCCCCGTTGGTTGAGCGTCACCCCAGGCGGCATTAACTCCCCGCACTTCTGGACTGTTTTTGAGCTCAGGCCAAGCTGTCTCCTGTGAGATTAGAGAAGTCCTGGGCAGAAAGCATAGGGATGGGCGGCATGCTCTTGAAATGACAGGCGGTCAGCCTGAGGTCATCATCTGAGCTCGTGTATGATCAGTTGCCACAGATATGGCCCAGATCAGAGATGGGCTGAAGGGATGTGACAGCACCACCAGAAAAAGAAGAAAAGAAACTTGGACAGAATGGAATTAGAGAGATGAGGGTTGGAATCACCTCCGTGAAGTCCTTTAATTTATTCTGTTGCCAGACATCCCTGATAAATCCAGATGGGAATCTAGCCCATCAGTAACTGAAACCACATAGAGGCCTGGGGGTGGAAGGACACAGTTACCACACAGAGATTTGTCTCTTTTCCTCTGGGAGATCCTGCAAGCCAGGAAGCTTGGTCAAAGATTAATTTAGTGGATAAAAAAGGCGTCTCTGTTGAATGAATAAGGCAAGGTTTTATGCAACTAGTGCATAATAAAAAGTAATAATGACAAAGTCCACAGCCACCCACCATTTGACAGAATGAATACGATAGGAGATGGTATATTAACTAAAGTCTATATTTACTTTTAGCAAATTATGGTTTAAAAACTCAAAACTTACAAAAACTTAAAGACTAAATTAAGAGACAAAGCATTCCAACAATAAGAGAAGCAGCAAGAGAAAGTACAGTCTTATCCTCCCACAACCAATGCTCCTGGTACAGTGGTTCCTGATTCATGTAGCACAGTGACACTGGGAATGGAAATAAGGAATAAAATAGAGGGAACTGAAATCTCAGAGGCAAGTGAGATTCTCTGACCTTGTTTTCGCTCCTATAAAATGAGGATAATAATGTCACACTTCACAGGTTGTTGGGAGGAAGGAATGGGCTGTATGGGAAAGTGCTCTGTAAGCTGCAAGGCATCCTAAACTGTTACAATTAATCCAGAGTTTGAAATGTAGTTGTTACATTTTAAATTGTTGATAAACACCATTCTACTCATTAAAAGAAGGAAGTACTGCTAATCTCAACATTGTGGAGTGCAAAGAACTTTCAAGAGGCCAGAGAGAATCAACAATACGTAAATAAGGCTGGGCACTTTGGAAGGCCAAGGCAGGC